TGTGTGTGTGTGTGTGTGTGTGTGTGTGTGTGTGTGTGTGTGTGTGTGTGTGTGAAGTGCCTTTTTTGGTTTTAAAGAGACAGTGTCAAATCGAGTTGCTTTGAGACACATCACAAAAAAGGGCCAAAAGAGAGGTTTGTTAATTTACAATAAGAAGGAATTCAGACCAAAGCATTGCAGTTCCACTTCTTATAGACCCCAACTGAATGATTTAAATGTGGAAGAAAAAGGATTTAAAAGTACAATGTGTCTCCTTTAAATTCGGATCAACAATCCATGCACTCCTTTTAAAAAATTGTTTTGCTTTTTGTTGATCTTGTTGATCTTTCTGTTTCAAGCCAACATTGTGCCATATCGTCCAAACATCTGGAATCACCATAAACTCTTTCCCAGCACAACCTCTCCAGTCTTCATTTATGAAAGGATATACATGATTTCAATGGGCTCCATGGTGATCGGCTCAAAGTTGCTGCAGTCACACTTGTTGTCCACCACCACCATAAAAAGGTTGCTGCTGGGGATCTGCTGGATTACAAAGGACCTGCCAATTACAGTACAAATGTAAAAATAATCAGATAAAGATGAGGCAACACTAATAGAGAGGAAGCAATCATAAAACTGGCAAACAGTCAAAGTATATGATATGTAGGATTTTAACTTCTCCATGCACAATTTTATGCGATATAAAAAAAAATTGCAATGTCAGTGGGACAACACATCCCATTGCCAGTTAACAATAAACACCCTGAGACATAGACAATAAGAAATGTACACTTGTTTCCCCAACTATAGGTTTCAGTCCAAGGTGAGTACCAATGAAGTGTTGCAAGATATAACACACTCCAATGAGAGATAAATGTGAACCACTTGTTAGTGCTAAAACTTTCCCATGTCTGTGTTTTACTGGCCTGGGAGATCAGGCCTTGACTCAGCCTCCCGTCCAGTGATTTATTTCCACGGATGAGCTTTGAGAAAAAGAGCATGCATAAAAAATGATCTTTCCTTTCTGTCACCCATTCTTTCTGGATTTGTTGCTTTTCTTTTCCCCTCTCTTTTTGGTGTAGCTTATTTGTCAAACCACTTTATTAGACATGTGTAAAAACATATGTATAAATGTGCTTCATGCCTAGGAAAGTGTGAGACCTGTTAGTTAAAAGCTGACTTATCTATAGAAATACTCCCATCTTCACTAATTTAATGCTATGACCAATTTAGTCTGACCACAAAACAGCCTCTCCTTCCTAAAAAACACCAAACCAGCCCACTTAATACATGCATCCCACCGTGACTAACAGCACCCAAGTAAACCAATCCCATTCYAAACAGAAAGAATTAGAATAGGCCAAGGTTTTAATAATCCATTCTCACCCCTGTGAAATGTCAAGCCAGTTCAGCTCTGCCCACTGATAAAAAACAGAGCAAGCATTCCTGGCGAAAAGACTTAAACACATTCTGACACAGCACAGCTGCTGGCTGTACCCACTGTCGGAAAAGTTAGCTCCAAGCCCAAAAATAAATGCACACATATCCTGTGGACATATGTAAGCATATGTGGAATATGTGCACATACACAGTAACAAACTATACACTCTCTTGCACCAACTTTAACAACTCAGACRACTTGCTTTCGGCAAAGTCTGATTTCTCTAAGGCTACAAGGTTTTTGGCCAACAGACGAGGACAAATGTTAACTAAAAGAAAAAAAAGTGTGTGATAAAATTGGGAAAGTGTTGAAAAAGCTACACGCAAAAAACATATAAATGGACCATATCCTATTGTCGAAGTGCTGACAAAATATTCTGTTCGCTACGCAAACTTGATGAAAAACTTCTCGTGTTTAGTTGTAAGCTTTCAACCTGCTACATCCAGTTGTCTTATGTCAGAACAGCAATAATTTATAATCCCATTTATGAACAAATCACTCCAGGCCAGAATTTGGCTCCAGTTCTCATAGAGGAAGTTTCCACTTTGCTAAGGACTTAAAAGCTGCATGGTAAATTCACAATACAACCATGATCCTTTATGGCTTATATTTCTGATTTTTACCCATAATTTTCATGTAAAATTTAATGGTTACTGGTTCATTAGCTTTACATTGCTCAGATAAAATATAATAAAAATCAAGTTTTCAGAGTCATGCTGTAATTATATTTTCTTATTTGACTTTTGAAAAAAAAAACKAGTCCAACATTTTCCATTGAAATTTTATTTTACATGCCTGCCTTATATGATATTTTTAAGACTTTAACAAAATGTCCCATCTTTACATCTAAGTGCAGCAATTTAAGTTGCTACTCACAGCAACTTACATCAAAGTGTTTGTTTGTCWTTGCTGAGAAAGCAAAAATGAGCATGCAGAATGAAGAAATAAACAGCAGCGTTTTGCAGTGAGACATACTTTGAATTAAAGATTTTTTGACAGTCAAGTTTCTTATGAGATAAAAGTTTTCTAACAAGGCATTTAAATGTTTAAATCACCCCCTACCTTTTTTTTTYCTCTTTTTCTTTTTKTCAAATAAATTGCCCCWCCAGTCAGGAAGTTATGGATATGTGTAAATAATAAACACACATGCACACACAGGCTAAAAAAAAACAGTAAAGAACGATTTAATGGGCAAGAGCTAGGGTATATTTCCTAGAGCAAGTCTACATGTGTGTCTGTAAAAATATGAAAGAAGGCCTCAGTCAGACGCTAACGTAAAACAGATGTTTATCACCAATATGCTCTATTACAAATATGAGCCATAAAATTCCATATAAATGAAATAAAAACTCCTTTTTATGTTGTAAGATTTATGTTTTGGAAAAATATAAATTAAAAGTTGACATGTTGCATTGACAGGCCAACTTCTGCCTCTGCTGTCATAAGGGGAGAAGCATGGCTCTGTCAGGTGTGTCCCTGAAGGTGTATGTGTGTGTGATGAGGGTCTGACTGGATTCCAAGTTGTGTTTTAGACATGGCACCCATGCACGGCGGTGGTTACTCTATTGACCCTATGGGGCTGCAACTACAGCAGAAGCACAAGGAAAACACACACATTCACACACACACACACACACACACACACACACACACACAC